ACGATATCAGAAATATAAGCAATAGGGTGAACGATAACGAACACGTGAAGGTTTTTCTTTTTTTTTTTCAATGTATTCATTTTGAGGCATTGTTTTTTCACAACGAAATGCTCCAATATATTCTACTATCATAGACACATGATTTTAAGTGATAATATCATTTTTAGAATAGATGTACTTGTATCATGTGGGACAAAATGTACAATTTGGCAATAAAATCTGATTGGAGTATTTAACAAAACGAAGGTACTAACATATGAGCCGCTCAGTGCACACATCGACTAACTCCACTTTTTGAAAAATCTTAAATTTAGGTGTCAAAGCACTTGGTATAGTCATAACTTTTTATATTTATAATATTTTTCCTGATTAATAGAGATTAACACCATTAAACGGCAAACATTTTTTAGGCATTGAATAATAAGTAATTTATTTCAGAAGTCATTTTGATTAACTCCATACTCTAATGTAAATCGTAGACGAATACCTGGCAGTATAGTATTATTGGATTATCCGTTGCGGCCGTACATCGACGCTTTTTTTTTTAAACAGCCGAAGATGCTTTCCCCCTTTCAACAATATGAGTAATAAAATCGCATCAGCAAACAGATAGAAAGAAGCACAATGCAGACGGTAGTTAGTATAACGGTGATCTCTCACGCTGAATGTTACCGTATACTTCACCAATATTACACGGACTACATATTTTTTGGTCTTTTCAACATTACTCCCTGATTGTTTTTAAAGAACTAAATATTATACCGTTATAATCAAGATGAGTGAAACTAATAATAATGTGGATGTGGAAAGCAGGGATGATTCTTCAATAGGATTTATCAGCAGAAAGTCTGGTGCAAGAAGACGTTTATCGTGTTTCTCGGATTCATCCGATTGCAACGGTACAAATTCCCCAACAAACACATCGATTGGGAGGAAATGAAGTCGTAATCCTGATAAATGGGCACGAAATTTACAAAAGCATAACGGAACAAAAGGTTTGGCATACAGGAATAGGGGAGGAAATTTAATACCTGCAAAAACATTTGTCTATATAAAATGCAGACGATTATTTTTTGGCTATTCTTTCTTATTAATTTTATATACCGTTAGATGAAAACTATAACTGTATTTATGTATTCTAAAAAGAATCTACATTACGTCATCGCATTTCTCAACTTTTTGTTTTATGGAGTTAATCAATGTGTGCACTGAGCGGCGCATATTTGTCTAAAATAGTTGATTTCTATTTTTTATTGAAAAAACTAAAAAACGGTTTGAATTATTTTTTCAATTCAAGAAAGAAACAAGAATGTATTTGACGAAGTTTTTTATAGGCCTAAGGAGTCCTTTGATATATTCTACAATTGTGTTGTACATATTGAGGGAAAAGTTTAAATATGGAAGATACCTAACCTAACCTAACCTAACCTAACCTAACCTCTTCCGGACACCCTCACTAACACATGTGTCCTCCATATCTATAAGGCTTGTGATTTTTCTCATACATTCGACAGCATTTCGATTGGCAGGTTGATAATCATTTAATTAGTTCAATAATAATAATAATGGAATGTAAGGATACAACTGTCAGTAAGGTCAGTCTATTTGTCTATAGGCTTCCTCCAGAAGGAAGATGCTGGACAAGGCATTAAGTTTGGCATTTTAATAATTATTCAAATGAGTACTTTCAATCGAATCGGCCGATTCATTCGACAGATGCAACTAAGCGGGATATTTAATTAGACAGATGGAGCAAGTGGAAAAGGACGGAGCGATCAGACACGGGAAGATGTCGATCGTTGGTACGATTAACGCGAGATCAGCTGTTACTACGTCATGTATTTGCACGCACGGATACGAATTTGTCTGTTTCAAATTATTTCACATTGGTACACAGAAAGGGAATTAAAATTATAAAAAATAATAACATAAATCAGGTACTCGTGTATTACTCCGTGTCAGAAGTTGCTCCAAACGAGAACTCTACAAATATCCTGAGTTCCTTCGCGGCAGAGAAAAAGAAAAAAAATTGCTGTTCCTTAGAATGCGTTAATAGTATACTTAAACATGCTTTACACATATTTACACGATCTCAAAATCCACGCCACGTGTGCGAAATTCGTGTAAAACTTTACTCTGCTCCAAATGAGACCACATATCAATAGCATAACGCATTCTTTCTCGTTTCCTCGTGACGAATTAATTACATTTACTTAAGAATTTACTTAAATATCCATGTTGCAAATTTACACAATTTAAAATCCACCTGTGTGAAATTGGTACAAAAAGTAAATCTGCTTCCAAGTATAACTAAGAATGTTCGTAACGCGTTTTTGTTTCACTTCTTCATGAATAATTATTAATTATATATATTTAAAGAACACCATAAACATACTTAATTGTACTTCTTGTATATTTACGCGATTAAAAACCGCGCCCTGTGTACAAAATTCGTATAGAACAATAATCTACCCCAAATGACAAATGCAAATATTGACAACAGGTTCTCTTAATTTCTTCAGTGTTTTAAATTGTCGTACAATTGTCCTGATCCTTTCATTTCTCATATTAAAGCCTTCAATAATTGGATATCGATCGAAATATGAGAGCTCGACGCTATTTCGGTTCTGCTCTTGGCTAAGTTAAAAAATTTATTTCAAAAATCTAAATGTTGAAAGTGTCAAGATAATTCTGAAGTGTTAACTAGTCACGTGTCAAACTTTCAGACGGTTTTATCCAATACTCTTATAAAAAAGTGTCTTATTCGAATCGCCTGATTCGAGGTGGGTTTCACTTCATCTTAAATATGCTTTTCATCTATTGCAGAATCTTCGAAACCGTGCCAAGTGGTCAAAATTCCCGTGAAACATCAGCCACGTGGCGTCGTGACAAGGTTCTGTTTTAAACAAACTGTCGTACAATTGTCCTGACCCTTTCGTTTCTCATATTAGAGCCTTCAATAATTGGATATCGATCGAAATATGAGAGCTCAACGCCTATTTCGGTTTTGTTCTGAGCTAAGTTAAAGAACTTGTTTCACAAATCCAAATATTGAAAGTGCCAGGATAATTCCTAGGTGCTCACGAGTCACGTGTAAAACTTTTAGACGGTTCTATCCAATACCTTTAAAAAAAAAACGTGTCTTTTTTGCCTTTACCCCGTTCAAATGCGAGTTTCTCGATTATCAAAGTGTTCTAAATTGACGTACAATTGTCCTGACCCTTTCGTTTCTCATATTAGAGCCTTCGATAATTGGATATCGATCGAAATATGAGAGCTCGACGCTATTTCGGATCTGCTCTGGGCTCAGTTAAAAAATTTGTTTCACAAATCCAAATATTGAAAGTGTCAGGACAATTCCTAGGTGCTCACGAGTCATGTGTCAAAGTTTCAGACAGTTCTACCCAATACCCTTAAAAGAAAAAAATGTTATATTCGAATCGCCTGATTTGAGATGGTTTTCCTTCATCTGAAATGCTTTTCACCTATTGCAGAATCTTCGAAAGCGTGCCAATTGTTCTGATCTTTTCGTTTCTTATATTAGAGCCTTCCATAATTAGATATCGATCGAAATATGAGCGCTCGACGCCGTTTTGGCTCTGGTCTGGGCTAAGTTAAAAATTTTTTTAAAGAATCTAAATATTGAAAGTGCCAGGATAATTTCTAAGTGTTCACAAGTCATGTGTAAAACTTTCAGACAATTCTATCCACACCCTTAAAAAAAGAGTGTTATTTGAATCGCCTGATAAGAGATGGTTCCCCTTCATCTTAAATGCTTTTCACCTATTGCAGAATCTTCGAAACCGTGCCAATTGTTCTGATCATTTTTTTCAAAAACGTGTAAAACTTTCAGACAATTCTATCGACACCCTTAAAAAAAAGTGTCTTATTCGAATCGCCTGATTTGAGATGGTTTCCCTTCATCTTAAATATCCCTTTCACCTATTGCAGAATTTTCGAAACCGTGCCAAGTGGTCGAAATTCCCGTGAAACATCAGCCACGTGGCGTCGTGACAAGTGTCGACAACCGGGGAGCAATGCGTCGGCAAGCTCGCGCACGCCTCCGCTTCGGGGCAAAACGAGGGCATCCGAGCGGCAAAGCCGAGCAACACCGAAGACGCATCACGTGCAACAACGGTCGTGCCCCGCGACCAGCGTCCGGGAGTGCACCTGTCATGACAAGAACCCGCCTAACCGGGCAGCAAGGCTTCGCCAATACCGCGACAAGTGAACGGCAATCGAGCGGCAACCGAGCGGCAAAGGTGAGCGCACTCTTGCGGCCGAACACGTGTATCGGAGGGCAATACACCGACATCCCCGCGGCAAACGGTAGCCGACCCGACGATGTCACATTGACCACACGTCAAAGATATTCCAACGACTCTTCCCGACGACAAATAAGGAATGAAGTAAATTCCCCTCCCCCAAAAGGGATAACCTCTCCATTGAATTCATTCGGTAGATGTTATTTGTAAATAAGGTAGGTCGTAAATAAGGACTAAAAGGTAGTAAACCGGGTATCGATTACAAGCATTTACAATCACATCCACGAAAACATGAAACAGCGTTCTCGGAGGCACGTTATAAATTCTCGATAGTAAATGCTAATCGATCGTGGAATTGAATTGGCGATAAAATATTGATCATTAAATAAAATTGGAAGGATAAGCTACTCTCAGATCATACAAGGAGATATATCAAGGACTCGTGTCCTTGTCTCCGTGATACGATTTCGATACTCTTTCCCCGTAGAAACAAAATACAGGATGTAAATCACGTTTTCGAGGTGAATTCGGAGCGATCCCGTACGTAGCGAGGCTTGTTCTTTTCCGGGGATAAGATATTGACCGGGAAAGAAGTGGACGAGACTAATTTAACCGCGTATCTTCGGTGGAGTGCGGCCGAATCGATGAAGGGATAAGGGCCAGTGGCCGGAACGCGAGGCAGGGGATAACGAATGCGCACTCACGGGCAGGTAATTAGTTAAAGATTTACCACACCTCGCGACCATTCCGAGCCGCGTCCGGCGCCGGGCGCCAAGGGACGCGACAATAACTTCCCGGGAGCGTCTCCCTCCGCGTCCATCCCCGACAATGTCATGGCAACCACTGGAAGTATTCCGGCAAGTTTGCAACACGTTGTCGAGGAGCGATCGGCGAGGTCCGCTCCCCGTCCGCGGAGCCCGAGGGCCTAACTGGCAGTCGGTCGTCGCTCCGTCTCTCTCTCTCCCCCGTGCCGCGCGCATTCCTCGGGCCCCGGTACCTCTCTCTCTCCCACCCGCGCACGTGCGCGACTCTCGCACTCGCTCCGGTACTTAGCGTCGGCGTGAAACTTACCCCGAGGGCGCCGATGTGCCGCCGTGCCGCAGGTAGACGCCGCAGGCCGGTGGGAGCGCGCCGGTGGACTGACGGTCGCCGCCGGAAGCGCCGGAAACTCTGGGCCGTCGCGTCGTCTGCGTGCTGGGTAGGGGTGGGGGGCCGGATCCTGCGCGCGCCGCTCGGGCGAGCCCGCGGCCCGATTGGCCGGCGCGGCCGGCCCAGGGGAAAGTCCTCCCGTCTCGCGCCTCTTCCCGCCGCTCCAGCGGAAAGTCCGCCCTCCGATTGGCCAGTTCCGCTCTCGCGGGCCAATCGGAACGCGCGGGAGGGTAATCGGTGGATGGATATACGGGAGAAACGAGAGCTTACCGTTCCATTGGCCGAATCGGGGAACCAGAAACGCAAGATAGGAAGGAACGAAATCCTGCGAGATCGGCCCGGGGTGGAGGGAGGAGAGCGGAGACGAGCGGAGGAGAGAGATCGCGCGATTGCAGCCGACTGCCTTTCCGGAACCATGAATGGAATGCTTCTCCTCTGGGCGACGCTCCCTCGGGAACGGGCCGGGGAATGCAGCGCCCCACTCCGGGATGTGGGAACGGAACCGCCCCTCGCCCCGGCTCGGAACTCCAGATGGACGGGTGGCGCCCTCTGCGCGGCGCCCCCGGGAACCGCGACTCCGGGAGACTCGTCCTGGTGATATGAATTTCCTCGCCACACGCTCGGCGGCCTCGCCGACCGTGAATTAATTTAATCGCGTTATTATACTTCATTGACAGCATTCGCCGTAACCCTCGAGGACTCGACTTAATCTCCTCCAGGGACGGGCGAAACCTGCAAATCGATCGCCCTAAACTGTCGTGAAAAAAACGATCAAATGGTCAAGAAACGATCTACATCTTGATCTTATCTCCCCAAGACTCTTGTCAAAGTCCGCTATCCAGTGACGCGATTCTTGGAACTACTTTTAATACACAACCCGGACCTCCCGCGGCTTCTTTTCCCCGGCAGGATCTAAGGTTACGGTACTTCCGGTGTCGTTCTTGAAATCGTCAACTCGGCTGCAAGTGTGCATGTTATTTTTTAGTTCTCTTTCCTAACACGCGACGGAGATCGATCGAGGGAGCGATGGAGTGGACATTCAGAGAGAATGAGAGAGGTAGCCCTTTCGTGGGCTTCGGATATTCCGTTAAAACCGGGGCCTTAATCCGAGGAGTTCCGGAGTTCCACTGGCGCTCCGGAGATAAGCGATCGGCGTGGACGACGGTATCGCCAGGGAGGGAACACTCGTCGCTCTTTTTTTCCCCGGACGAGCATATGCGTCCTCCAGGGCGATAAGTCGCGCATACGCGCGTCCGCAGTCTAGGGCGATAACCAGGGTTGGGTAAGTATAATGCGTCAAGTGATATACGTGCTTTTCTACACGTATATTACAACGTATAATACCTCCTTGGTTTTCTACGCAGACACAAAGTATATTACCCCTAACTAAACGTGCAAAGCGCATGCGCAATATCGTCAATAGCCAATGAAAGTCCACCTATTTACCTCTAAGAGAGATTCTCATTGGCTATTAAGGGGATTGCACTTTACGCATCCACAAATCCGCGCACATTCGAAGTCAGCCTTGGAAATTTCAAATCTATGCATATATGTGCCCATAATTATGAAAGTGGTCTAAGTCATATATTTTTTGTTTCGAAATTACATTGAATTAATTTCGTTTGAAATAATATGGCGTGAAATAACTGATAAACTCATTTTTTTTTTTAATTTTGACTTAGACCACTTTCATAATTATGGGCACATATGTGCATTTGACGTTTCTTTATAACGGCTGGTAACGGCTACTTGAAGTCGTAAGATTCGTGACCAATATTTGTATAAAAATGTATAAAGGTGGAAGAGGAGAAAGTAAATTATGGGATGAAACAAATGGACAAGATGGATTTTTATAACCTAGCGGATACCGCATGCCCTACATCTGTCTCGTCCGCCATATTTGATACGTGTATTTGAAGTCGCAAGATTCGTAACGAATATTTATATCAAAATATATAAAGGTGGAAGATCAAAAAGTAAATGATGGGATGAAAAAAATCGACAAGATGGATGTTTATAACCTAGCGGGTACCGCATGCCCTACATCTGTCTTGTCCGCCATATTTGATACGTGTATTTGAAGTCGCAAGATTTGTAACCAATATTTATATCAAAATATATAAAGGTGGAAGATCAAAAAGTAAATGATGGGATGAAGCAAATGGACAAGATGGATGTTTATAACCTAGCGGATACCGCATGCGCTACGTCTGTCTTCTCCGCCATATTTGATAAGCTTTCTCCTGGTCTTCTACGTTTTCTCCGGTAAACTACTCGATTTACGTAATATACGTGAAAAACGTCGAAAATCGTGAAATTACCCAACCCTGGCGATAACGTTCGCAGGACGCACATCTGCGTCCGCAGGCACTCGAAGGGTTAACGAACCGTTTAGCGGAGCGGCGAGAACGGCGCAGACCCACTGCGCAGGCGCCGCGCGCACGGTGGCTCCCCCACGCGATCGATAGCGGACCCCGCGAGGTCCGTAAGGCCCCGTTTCGGGCCTTACGGGGCCCGGGAGGGCCTTATTGTGAAATCGGGCCGGGAATGCCTGCGACCTCGCCAAACTAGACGGCGGACTGGTTTTTGTCCAATTTAGAACCGCCATTGTTCGCCGGGAATGAAAATAGAGGACCGCCCGCCAAGGGGAACCACGAGGTCCAGAGGAAGAGAGAGACGGAGAGGACAGCCGACTGCTCGGCCGACTCAATGATGCTTGCAATTTATTAGCCCGAGGTTCACCGACTGTGTTGTCCCTCGGGCTTTTTACGCCAATTGACAGCGCGCATGCTCCGACACATGTCCATCTCCTGCATGGGGGGGAGGATTTCTCGGGGCGGATGAGCCTCGGAAGGACAAGTAGGCACTTTTTACGACCGGAGGTTACCGACGCTGCAGACTCCCGGTGGATTTCTCGAATAGCCCCGGGAATTATCCAACATTGTTATCAATGAATATTGGTTTCTCATTCATCAATTACTGGGAGAATAATTTCTCGTATGAAGATACTGCATCGGATTGACGGTTTGGTGAGGTTTCCTTTCTTTTTCGCAAGTCCGTGCACACAGCCTCGGGATAAATACTTACTTTTTTCCCAGATTACGGTGCGGTTTTATTCGGCTTATCAGGTCGGTTTTTTCGTACGAACGTGCACGTGTCAATGTTTTCTACAGTCCTTGCATTCATTTTTAGGAACGGGAAATGATGTTAAGATGTCGGTAAACACGCGTGGTAAATAGTTGAATTCTTTTTACGGATGCAGTATGCAGCGCTTCGAGACTAATCTTCAGGTGGTAAGTCCCTTCTTTTTAGGACCTGTTCGTTTGGACTTGGTCGGTAATTATATCGATATTTCAGTTCGGGAGGTAAAGCAGGTTTCTGCTTGACAAAATCACGGGAATCACATAAAGCGCGCCTCGCGTCAGAATTGCGGCCAGACGATGAACTATCTTTCGGAACTTCCTAAGATGACAAAACTGTCGTACAGTATAGATATTGATTGTTCTTGCATATTGATATTTACAATAACATTATTCATGTATTTTCTCGAAATATGAAAAATGTTTCAGATAATTGAAAATGACCAAAAACTTGATTAATAGACAAATTGAATATTCCAGATTTTTGGTCGTTTTAAGTTACGCAAAACGAGGTATAGAATTCTTTTTTAGTATCTGGGATTTTTAATATTCTTATTGGTGTTATTTAACTTCCCACATGCAATAATTAGTACTTGAACGTTACGTACCATTTAAAAACTGTGGCCGGAGAGTGCCAAGAAACGCGATCATGTTTTTTCTCTATTTGATATGAACAATTGTAAATTGGGAAATTTCGAATCAAACCGAATTATAATGAAACTATGAAGATGATTTGTATTCAACGTAAGTCGACACTTTCAGATCTAATACATGAAAAATGCAATTGCGCTATATGGCATTGTCGATACCTTACATTGAATTCTAATAATTCAAATTTTTGCAAGTAATTGCCCGTGTATCTATTAGATAATACGCCGATAAGGTAATTCGTGACACTGAATGTTATCGTTAGCATTGTATAATAAATGAATAAAGAACAATGAGTGTATCTACAAAGACAACAACACGTGAAGCCGTCGAAAAGGTAACTCTCGGCATATAACGTCATTGTCAACATTATGTCATATTTTAATAAATAACAATTACCATATTTTCATGAAGGTGCAAATGCAATAAATTTTAAGTATCTACAATGACAACAAAACGTGAAGTCGTCGAAAAGGTAACTTTCGGCATATAACGTCATTGTCAACATTATGTCATATTTTAATAAATAACAATGACTATATTTTCAGGAAGGTACAAATGCAATAAATTATAAGTACCTACAATGATAACAAAACGAGAAGCCGTCGAAAATGTAACTTTCGGCATATAACGTCAGTGTCAACATTATGTAATATTTTAATAAATAACAATTACCATATTTTCAGGAAGGTACAAAAGCAATAAATTTTAAAGACGTCTAAAGGATAAATCGTGATACCGGGTAAGTAGCACGTAATTCTTAGCATCCTATATCAACAAATAAGGATTCATACGTTTATGGGAGGATGTAAGTATAGAAATTAGTAAATGTCGAGAGGGCAAATCGTGACGCCGCATAAGTAGCACGCAATTAGGAGATCG